GATTTGTGATGCCATCTTTGAAAAATGCCAAATTGTTTATATGCTTGGTCTTGTTCTGGGATCTCTATTATGTTCAATTTGTTCTACTTGTCTATTGCTGCACCAGTACTATAGATTCTTTATAAGTTTCAATATCTGGAAAGTCAAGTCCCTCTGCTTGCTCTTAATTTTCAGGATTGTCTTGAAATTTTTTGGATCTTTATTTTTCCATACGAATACTAGAATTATTTTGCTAGGTTCTATGTTAAAATCTTGTTCTATCTAGGTTCTATCTTGTTCAATCTACGTTCTACCTAAAATCTTGTTAAGATTTTAATCGATGTTGCCCCTGTCAAAAAAACTGCTGAAACTGCCTCAGCAAAACCAAATGCCTCCGTCAGTGTGGACCCCAGCTAAAAAAACCCAACACATCACAAGGATGGCATCCACATCACTCCCACCTCCCAAATTCCAGCTGTATCTGACTGATAGGACACTAAATCACACCTAGAAGCCTAGCTGCATGAGACTTTGGGAAATGTACATTTTAGCTTTAAAGACTTTGCAGTACAGAGTAGTGAACAATGAAAAAAACAGTATGGGTATTAGTGGGTTATGAAATCAATTAGTGGGTCACAAATGGTATTTAAAAAAATGAAATAGAACAGAATATAAGTTATCAGTGTGCCTAGCAAGAATAAGTATTGTTTCAAAGAAGTTTTATATATATATATATATATAGTTTTATATATTTGTAAAATTTTATTTATATTTATATATATTCATAAATCTTTATTTATATATATAAAACTCGATGAAACAATACTTATTCCTTTTTTTAAGTAGTCTTTCCACCCAAAGTGCAACTTGAGGGGCGCCTGGGTGGCTCAGTCGTTAAGCATCTGCCTTTAGCTCAGGTCATGATCCTGGGGTCCTGGGATCGAGCCCTGCGTTGGGGCCTTGGCGGGAAGCCTGCCTCTCCCTCTCCCACTCCCCCTGCTGGTGTTCTCTCTCTCTCGCTGTGTCTCTCTCTGTCAAATAAATAAAAATCTTAAAAAACAAAAACAAACAAAAATACCAAAGTGCGACTTGAACCTGCAACCCTGAGATCAAGAGTTATGTGCCCTACCGACTAAGCCAGCCAGGGACCCCAAAAAAATACTTATTCTTATATATATATACATACTTATACACATAAAATCTTTTAAACATTAAAAAAATAAGGGATGAGAGAAAGAGAAAGTGAGAATAAGAAGGAGAGAGAATATATATATAAAAAAAGAAAACATTTCTTATTATGGGTCATGATCAAGAAAGTTTGAAGGCCAAGGTCCTAGGAAGGTGCAGAGACACTATGTGTCACCACATGTAGTACAATATCCCTTATTTTGCTAAGGAAATTTCATCTGCTAATAGCTTTTATTTTGAATAGGTGAATTTTGTCAAATAATATTTATATATATATATTGAGGTAATCGTAAGTTCTTTCTCCTTTAAATACACAGATGAATTTCCAACAATGCATCATCTTTGCATTTTTCTCTAAAAATATTTTTATAGTTACCTATTGTGCCATGACTCCCTAACTTTGTTACAGCCCCTGTCCCACATACCATCCATAATTTCTAGCAGATTCTATATTTGCCCAGTTTGTCAAAGATGCTTCTATACATCCTGACACATTCTTTAAGAACAAAAAATGTCTATGCTTTGTGATTCTTATTAAATTAATAAGAAGCCCAAATATCTGCACTTTATTTAATTAAAAAATTCTCTATAGATAACTTTCCAATCTCAGAACCAATGATCTAGTAAGAATTTGTAATGGAAGAGTAAGTCCTATAGGAAAGCTGTATTTTAATTCTGATATGCAGGTGCCTGGGTGGCTCAGTTGATTAAGCGTCTCCCTTCAGCTCAGGTCATGGGATCGAGCCCCCACTGGGCTCCACGCTCAGCAGGGAGTCTGCTTCTCCCTCTCCCTCTGAAAAAAATCTACCCCCCCCACTGCTCACGTGTGTGTGCTCTCTCAAGTAAATAAAATCTTGAAAAAAATAATAATTCTGATATGCTAGTGACAATTATTTCAATGTTTTTGTTAAGAATATAAAACTACTGGGTGCCCGGGTGGCTCAGTCGGTTAAGCGTCTGCCTTCGGTTCAGGTCATGATCCCGGGTCCCAGGACTGAGTCCCATGTCAGGCTCCCGGCTCAGTGGGGAGCCTGCCTCTCCCTAAAAAAAAACTGCTCCCCTGCTTGTGCTTTCTCTCTGTCAAATAAATAAATAAAATCTTAGAAAAAAAAAGAATATAAATCTACTAACACTACCTTCATCAATTTGACCTCCACAGAAATACCTGCCCAGATTATATTCACTTAAGCAGTGCCTCAGGAACTTTCATTTGCTTCTTATTCGTTGTATTTTATTTGCTTATTTTTAAATACTAAAGAATGTCTATATTGCTTGAAAGCAGCCAAATGACAAATATTGCATTTTCAATGGGCACTGGTTTTAACTCACCACATCAGGAAACTACAACACTGTTTCTTTTAACGCATCAGTACCAAAGTTCTGGACAAGCTGTTCTAAGACCTTTGACCCTAGAAACTGGGGGTAAAAAAAGTGTCTTACATTTTTCTTACTGTTTTTGAGGAGAAAAGAAATTTAAATTTGAATAAAAAAAGATGCTTTTTACAAATCCCTTGTACAAATTATGTTCCCTGTAAATTAAAAGCTTTCCAATCATTTAATCAGTGAAAAAAAACACAGGTACACATTCTCTATAATCACTATTCTTCAACATTTAATAACAAAAGGAAAAAAATCTCTTTATAAAAGGTGGTAGAATGAAAAACAGTAAATATTAAACTTCACCAAAGGACCACCTAGAAAGAAACAACGACCTTATCAGTGATACAACTGACTCGAGCAGTTGGTAGCCTGCCTGGCCTTATTAGGCAACATGTACAACACCCTTCCCTTTTTCTACCGCACAGCTGGGGAAGCAGGAGACCCAGGGATAGAACTAATGGAATCCTCATTTATTTAGCCAGAGGCAGAGGGAGCCCCAGTGCCAACAGAGAGTTGGATTCCCAACTGGTCTTCAGTTAGAAACAAGCCATCACACTGGTTGCCCCTGGGTGTTGGGCCTATGGGTGATAGATTTTTTAACTTCTGGTTTCCAAATTTTCTATAACGGGATGTATTATTCTCATAATGCAAAGAGCGCTCTAACTGACCGAACAGCACATATATGCTAGTTGAGTGTTTTATTTTTAATGCCCAACCACTAAGAAGACCTTCTAAGTGTCCTTGTAAGTTCCTCCTCTCTTCCTCTCCTGGTGGGGGGCAGGGTCTCCATCTGCCAGAGATAGACAAGCAGGATTCCACAGTTTGGGGGTTTGGGTCACATTTGCCTGGCATTTATAAAAATGATACTGCAAGGAGTTCCACAGTTTTCTTGATGGTTAGAAACAGTAATATTTATTAGATACTGATTGTGTCTAGGCCCATATTCTTCTGCAAATAGCAGAGAGAAACAAACAGCAGGAGAGATGGTCCCTATTTATGAAGAGCTCAAAATATCATCAAGGGCATAAACGACATAAAAATACTTTAACAAATACAAAGGTACAGACTAATAAGAGTGCAAACCAAGAGGTTAGCGTGGAAGGGGACGGGAAAGTGTCAGAGCCAACTGGGGGTGATGCCTCCAAGATTTCCAGAAGCAGGCCCCATGACGTCTTCTCTTTACCTCCAAAGCAACTTCTCTTTCTCCCAAAGTCAGTAAAATGGAAATTCTGAAGACACAGGAATGTTCCTTATTGGGAAAGCAGCCTAAGGCCATATTGCACAAACTTGTTGATTCCAGGTTAATACTCCTACTTGAGATAGCATTCAAGTTTCAAGGGAAACAGGTATTTCCAAAAAAAAATTTTAGAAAACTAAGTGTGACAGACTTATTTTAAAGTTGGCAGTACTTCATGAAAAAAAACCGCATTTCCTATGAAATTACTTGCTTTTTACTCTGACTACAGAGGCAGGGACTGATCTGGGATCAGAAGTGTTCAAGTTCTTAACGGTTGCCCAAGTGCCTTGTTGCACAATGCCGAAAACAGACAAACAAAAACCCGTGACAGATCATTTTCTTTTCTTCCTTATAAAAGCTGCCCCTTTTCAAGTGCCCAACATGTCTGTCACTCTCCAAGTGCTCTCCGCCCTCACAGAGCTTCATCTGTTACCGAGCACGGTTCTGAAGTGAGTGCTGGTACTGGAATCTGAGATGGACCAGTTTCTGGAGACGCACACAGGTCTGAACTGTCAAAGGGAATGGACAGGGAACTGCAGCCACGCCTCCGGCTCTCAGAAAATCGCTTCAGTACAGTTGGCTTTTCCTAGGCGATCATCTGTAGGACTCAAGGCACGAGGAGCTCAAGCCAACCCTGAGCTTGGGAAGCAAGGGGTGGACAGTTAGGGTAAAGCTGGAGGCCTTGGGCCACATACAGTTACCTCTCAGTGCTATTCCTCTGGCAAAAAACTGGAATGTGAACAACAGTCAGCCTCAAGAGATTCCTGGTGAGGCACAGATGATGGGGGTAGACGTCAAATATGGTATTAGGATGAAATCTTAAGGATGGTTTATCTTATCCCACTAACAAGGTGAGAAGGAATTTTACATGTCTGCCTTTAGGTCATGATCAAGGATAAGCAACACAGTCAGACTTCTAGAAACAAATTAGCTTTCCACTCTGTCGTGCGGATTTGAGCTATCAGGCCAGAAGTCATGGTTCGGAAATAAACCTGAGTTGTGGACTAACGAACGACTGTTCCTTCAGTACTGTAATGTCCTTGCTCATGAAATCTCTTCTCCATTGTCCTTTGTGCCTGAAAAAAAATGAGCCCATGCTGAGGACCTTCCATGCATGTTCAAGCCTGTGCTTCTACAACTCTTCTGTTTCCTGGAAAAGCCTGCCTTCGCCAGAGGCAAGGAGATCATCTGCTTGTGAGGGGGGAGCCAGGGCTCTTCACTTAATCATCTGGGTTTCTTCATCTGCATCGAAAAACTCCTCCTCTTCCTCACTCTCACTGCCTAAAGTGTTGTCCTTGTCCACAGACTGAAAAGGGAAAGGAGAACCAGAATGGTCACATGATGCCATGACATTTCTAAAATGAACATTATTATCTAGCACTCAACCGACAAATGCATTTTTATGACATCTCCCCTAAGATTTCACCCTAAAGTGTTCTACGAAAGTGAATGAATCACCTGGCCACCTTCATTTCTCTAAAAAACCAGTTGCTATTAATCTCACCCCCCCTTTCCAACAGTTTTGCTTAGTTCTATTAAATCTAACCAGAACATTCTTCTGCCGCCCCCCCAAACTATCATCATCCCAAGAGGTATACCTGAAAGATTAAGAAGACTATGAAGACTGGGGCAACTGGGTGGCTCAGTCATTAAGCGTCTGCCTTCGGCTCAGGTCATGATCCCAGCATCCTGGGATCGAGTCCCACATCGGGCTCCCTGCTCTGCGGGAGGCCTGCTTCTCCCTCTCCCGCTAAAAAAAAAAAAATTCCCTCTCTGGCTGTGTCTCTCTGTCAAATAAATAAATAAAATCTTTAAAAAAAAAAAAAGAAGACTATGAAGACTATGCCATACCTGTGGCGGATCCAAGGTCTGTAAAGATAACGCTTCATCCCCCAGCCTCCGATATGAATACACCTGAAGGTCGGAAAACGTCTCTAGCAATGGGCTGTTAAGGGTTTCCGGCAATAATAAACTCAGGAGGCCCGAAGTCAGGCCGGTGGCTCCAAAGACAATGAAGGGTAAAGACCACTGCACATACCTCTGTGGGGGCAGGGAGTAGAACAAAAACATACAAAAACTCGGTATCTGTTTCCCAGCATGTGACATCAGCAGTCTTATGACCGAGGCATGGCCATGTTTACTATTCCCACTAGAATACACAATAAGCCACTTCCTTCCCCATGGAGAGTTACCCTGGAAAATCATGGAGTGCTTGCTCAGGCACGCAGAAGTGGGAGTGAGTACACAGAGAGGCGGCAGAGGTATGTGGATCGGATTGGAAGCAGGGGGGTGGGTACTGCTTTCACTGAAGGCAACTCGCTTAGAACACAGGGATCTCCACATACTCTTTGCTTGGGAGACACCTCAAATACTCGCTCACCATAAAGTTTAAAGTTCTCCACACTGGAATCAGCCAATCAGTATGCTCGCTGATTCACTTAGCACTGAGTGAGGGACAGGCCGGGCTAGTAGGGAGAGATAGGGAGGGGGCTCTCGTGATCAGGCTCACAGAAATCCCCAAAATGCGGAGGTGTAAGGAAACCAGAGATAAGGGAACACACCAGACCGCCCTGCCCTACGTCGGAGGGGGGTCTTTTTTTATGACAGTCACCTGGGACCAACAGAGATTAACCAGACCCTAAAAAAAGTAAGCCATTAAAGATGTTATCACTAGTCCTTACACAAAAGTGCTATCAGTAGAGAAATTAAAAAGATTTAAGTTCCCTGGTTAGCTTTCAATAAAAGACCAATCCTAAAAGCCCTCAGGGGCAATCCTGTGGGGGCCCCTTTCACTGCTGAGAGCTTTTTTATTGTATCCTTGCTTAATAAAAACTCTATCCCTTTCCTCACTCTCCTTTGTCTGCGAGATTCATTCTTCAACTCCATGAGACAAGAACCTCGCTCTCCCGCTTCAGCAACATGCCCGGAGGACGGGGTTAAAGTTACAAACACCCCAAAAAGAAAAAGAAAACCCTAAAGAACCCGTGTGATTAGGAAACTACCTGAACACGGTGATACAGCTTTGCTTCAGAGATCCAACAGACATTCTTAGGAAAATTTAGTTTCTTGAAACACAAACTGGCTCAAAGATAATGACACAGAAAACTGTGTTGCCCTCGAGCCACTGGGGTGTTACTCTGGGGCCTTTCTGAGCTGATCAACATTCTTGAATTCCTGTATAGGAGTTGCTTAGCTTAATGCTTTTCTCTTTGAGGCTTCCAAATTGCGTGGACAGGACCACTACTAGTTAGGATATCCTCTGCCTGATTTTTCAGAAGTAAAAAGATGATGGACAAAGTGGGGCGAGGGGTGGAGGTGGGAGGGGGGAATCTCACTTCTGGAGCCCACATGCAAACACAGGTCCAACACTGTGGGTGTGCTGCTGAATCAAGGGGGACACAACACTCTCATCTCTTCTCAACTGAGCAGGAATAGAGGTACAGTGCTAGGTATTCTAATGTTCTAGGAGAGCCATCCAGAGTCGGAGATCTTCAGAGATAAACCCCTCATGTCCACACATTTTGCAGAACGGAACTAATTTATATTAGAGAAATGGTCTTATACCGTAAAATTAAGCATGAAACATGGAAAGAGATACTCATGAAAAGGAAAGATACTCATGAAAAGGAAGTATACTGCAAGTCAAGAAAGAAAGATGAAGGAAGGAAGGAAGGAAGGAAGGAGGAAGGAAGGAAGGAAGGAAGGAAGGAAAGAGAGAGAAAAAAAAAGAAAGAAAGAAAGAAAGAGAAAGAAAGAAAAAGAAAGAAAGAAAGAAAGAAAGAAAAAGAGAGAGAGAAAGAAAGAAAAGAAAGAAAAAAAGAAAGAAAGAAAAAAGAAAGAGAGAAAGAAAAGAAAGAGAGAGAAAGAAAAAGAAAGAGAGAGAAAGAAAAGAAAGAAAGAAAGAAAGAAAAGAAAGAGAGAGAAAGAAAAGAAAGAGAGAGAGAAAGAAAAGAAAGAAAGAAAGAAAGAGAAAGAAAGAAAGAGAAAGAAAGAAAAGAAAAGAAAAGAAAAGAAAGAAAAGAGGCCACAGTGGCATTTCAGAGACATCCTCCCGTGCTAGTGAGGCAGGGAAACCAAAGGGATGCTATGAGAGAAAAAGCTGGTTTTCCCTTTGCTGCTTTTCCCGCGTCTCCTCTTGCTAGGACCCGCACTCCCGGCCCACTTTACACACGCCTTGTAACGCAAATCGCATAGGTCCTTCTTATAAGAGGCCAGGACTTAATGATTTCTCTAGAACAGATAATATCTAAGGAAGGACCACGTGACAATAACCAGGTGAAGCTATCATATGAGCATTCCAGACCACTGGAGACATTCTAGACATCTCCACGGCAAGACACCTTGGCTCCAAGGAATAACACGGGGGCCCTTGTCTTTGTTCTAACCGGTTCCTGGATGCCTGGAAGCCTGAGAGGACACGTACACCAGACCACTCCCAGCCCCATGGACAAAGATGAGACTCCTTCCTTTCCTTTCTGAGCCTCCCAGACAGTCACTCCATCTGTATCTGCTTTCTCCAGATCTTCAATAAACTGTTTCACCTCCTGCTGGCTCACATTTGATTTCCATGCTGCATGAAGCCGAGGACCCTCCTGGCTGGTCCTGCGGGAACCCCCCGGGTGTATCGCTAGTGGGGAAAACAGTTGTCTACACAGCATATCCAGGAACCCCTTGTTGAGTGCTGGCTGGGAGGGCAATAGGTCGGCCCAGCAGAGACATCCGCAGGGGCTCCGGGGATTAATCTGTCACAGAACCAGAACATTTCAAGACTGGAAGGATTTTCAGGGCTGCCATTAGGTCTATCCCCTTTCTTTTGACTATGACATTTAGGAAACACTAAAAACTCTTAATAGACACACTGCTAGGCATGTTTCTCTTCTAATTTTCTTGTGTAAGTGGTGTGCCTTTGGGCAAGTTATCTAACCTGCTTCTGCTGATTTCTCATCTTTAATAGAGGGCAACAACCATGCCTGCCTCACATGGTTCTTGTGAAGCTTACTCGAGATGATAGGTGTTGAAGTGCTCAACACGGAGCCCAGCACACTGCAGAAGCTTAATAAATATTCACTGACTGGCTAACTTATGAATGGAGATAGGAAGGGGCACACTGGCATTAGCTAACTCTCTAGTAAATGCAGATAAGCAAACACGCAGAGCCTCGGGGGTAAGAGCATCCTGGGTCCGAGCCCATCTGCCCTGAGGGATACGTAATCTAAAAGATACAAGGTTCCCATGCAGGGCAGGCTGATCTTAAGTGGCAACTGTTCATTACCACCTTCTACTCAAAGGCACAAGCATTTCCAAAGCAGAGAACCCAGAAAAACAAAACTAGGAGGTACAAACCAACCAGTGAGGGGATGAAGGGGGCAATAATCGGGGGGGCTCGGGAGAACATAGAACAAGTTCCAAGCCCAACGTTCCTGAAAGGCATAAAAAGGGGGGGAAAAATCAGTAAGTTCTGGCAGGGGCGGCGGGGGGGGGGGGGGGGGGGGGGGGGAGTGTAAAGACCCTGTGGGACAATGGGCCTGTAATAATAAATCCCAAGGTGGAGGAAGCACGAGCAGTGTTGCCTGCTAGAACATTCTGAGCTGCTGGAAATGTCCTATAACCGCACTGTCCAATATGGAAGCCGCTAGACAGCTATTAGCACTAGAAATGGGGCTAGTGAGAACGAGGAACTGGGTTTTTCATTTGCTTCATTTTAATTAGTTTAAATTTAAATAGCCACACGAGGCTAGTAACTCCCATACTGGACAGTGCAGTTATTACAGAGAACGGCTGTAGAAACGACCATGCGAATGTTTCTTGTCAAATGTTCTTACGGGTTTTTGTGTGAGGTTTCCTATGAATTGATATACCCGTGGAGAGCCAGTCTTTTATGATCTGAGAAGTCTGCCCATTTATTTAAATTCAACAAATTGACGATTCAAGGGTCAGGCGTATGACTAGGAATTGAGCACATATTATCAGGAGACCAGGAACGTGAACTTTGTGAGGAGTACGGACATGCAAGAGGTGGGAGGGGGCGGGAATGAGAGCGGTTACAGGTGGGGTGGCCAGGCAGCACCCTCTCACCCCAGCCTAACTGTCAGCAATGGCAAAATGGTCATCCTAGCATCACAGCCAGGAGCCAGACAAATCAGGTCAGAGGAATAATTAGGAAATGACCAGCCAATCACAGACAGCCTGGGAAAAACTGGAGGAAAAGGGACTTAAAATTAATAGGCAGAAAGAATCATTCAGTTTGCACGGATGAGGGAAACATTTGGAATGATCTCTGAAAAGCCTGGGGAAATGCTGAGCTAGGGAGCTCCTGCCCGGCCCTCAGAGGCAGTTCTAAGAAGACTGAGCTACATCCCTGCCCTTTCCATCTTGTTTTCAGACTTATTTTATGAGGGGAAACTTCAGAGTATGTTCTTTTTGATAGAAGCATGTCCTACTCATTAGAAACCACATTTAACAACTAATATGGAAACCTCATCATCACTTCTAAGTGGAATTATCTTTTTAACAATATGTATATTCTGAGTGAAAATGTAGGTCCTGTGAGAACAGGGACCTAGTCCCCTTGCCTGACATGTGCCTGACACAGGATGGGTGACTGAATAAATTCAATCCAATGAAATCAAGATGGCATCCGAGCACTCTTTGGGTGATGGGATGTGTTCATTGTAGAGGACTTCCCTCATGATTTACACGAGGGAGTTCAGCCCAAAATACAGCTACGTTTTCCTCAGCCAAGTGGGCTGAGTGTGGTCTACACAGGCAGCTTCTGGGCTTAGGCCTGCTTGCTGAATCGTTGCTGGCCCACACTAACTCTGGTCCCGGTGGAACAAGAACCATCCCTCTGCCGCTGCCAGGGTCTACAGCAAAACATGCAGGATGTGTGAGGCGCACCTGATGACTGTGGGGTACAGTTCAGAGGTGTAGATGTACACCACGTTAAAGGCCGCGCTGATCGTCAGCTTCCCGAGCAGAGACAAGGAATGGCTGTTCACCACGGCAAACACACCTGTGTCTGAGGAGGACAAGGGTAACACCGTGAGGTCCTTCAGGGAGAAAAACACCTTTAAATGACTCACTGAATTCTGAAGGAGCCAGAGGCATGAATAGTGATCTCAAACAGTAAGGAGGTAGTGTCATGGAATACACACTCAGAATGTTCAGTGAGCACACATAACACATCCACACAAATATTCTCCCAGTGTCTTGGCTAGCTCTCCGACATCTTCCACAGTGGTGGTCACTGTGGGTGATTAAACTCGCTTCCTCCTCAGTGACAGAGCTCTTGGAAAACTGTCCTGTAGTAAAGCAAGCTTCATGGGGATGGTAAGTCTCATCCACCATGGGGGCCTCTCCTTCCCAACCTCGTTCAACAACCAGTGATGTGAAATGGTGGTTAGCATGACAAGCTCTGGCGCGTTCAGGCAGTAAGTCTGACGGATGTAAGAGGCAGAGGGGCAGTCCAGGAAAACGACTCTCTTCAGTGGGCGTTTCTTGGTGTTCCATTGGAAGATAAGGAATAATCCCGCCAAATGACTACCAGAGGGTATAAATTAATGTTCTTTAAAGAACAAGACTCTAAATATGGAACTACTTTTAATCTTTCTTCCTGCCCAACTTCTTACTTGAATTACTAATCACTAATGATATTTCAGTTTCTTAATGTTACGTCTTTACATAAAATACAAAAATACAGATTATGGCAGCTCATTTCCCTATCAAAAATACTATCAATTATCCCGTGGTTCTTTCCTTTATTAACATTTTTCTCCCTGGGATCTTGCAATGCAATTACTCCCTTTCAAACATATTTAACCTCTCCCTTCAATAACCCACTAGACTCTGCTTTCAAAATAACAGTTTCTCCTTCTGAGGAAAAAAATCTCATTGACTCTGTGGTACTTTCCCCCTTGACTAGCAGACATCTTCAATGAGGGACCAATCCTCCATTTCCCCAAATACACCTGCCCTGTAGCTCACTACAATCTGGCTTCCGATAGCATGTTCTCCTCCGAAGTCCTACTTTGAAGGTCAACAGCGAGGTCCTAATCGCCAAAGTAATTGCCTCTCATTCTCCTTGACATTTCTGCCCACTAGAATACGCTTGTCCCCTTCCTTGCGGCTGCTTGCTTGGCTCATAGAAACCACTCTTCCCTTAAACAACTCAAAAGCAATATCCTTTCCTTCCTTTGACCTCCACTGTGCCTATTCCCTAATCCATTCAACTGGCACGCTTCAGACACACTCCTGGAGCTGCTTCCTTTTCTATCTTGTCTGCCCCCAATACATTTCGAGTTACTTCAGGCGAAGGCTGGTATCCTGTTTGTATCTGTGCCCCTCACACCATCTCCCATAGGACAATCCTCCGCGGTGCCTGCTAAATATTTGTTGAACAAATAAGTAGAAGGGCTACGAGAGGGATTAATTTAGTGAAAAGAATCGGTGTTAATGCTCTCTCAACTTCTAAGGAGGGGGGCATTTAAATACTCCATCCTAAACTATGCTTCACCTTCCCTGCTTGACTATGAAATAAATCTTCATCTACTTTAAAGACGGTGTCCCGAACACAGTGGCCCAGGCACTGCCAAACCCGACCATCTGGGGCTTTCTCCTCTTCTGCCAGGTTATTTGGAAGAAGATGCTAGCTCTTTTAAGTACTGAATATATTATTTTAAGCCATGAGTGCTTCTGGAAAAAGAACTCTGCCTTTCGGCGTTTACCCCAAGATATATGTCTGCACTTGAGATCTAACAATCTTTTCCATTAAACCAATAACAAGGGCAATTCTTCAATTATTTTCCAGAAAACTCAGGGTGTCAGGAAAAGGTATTCGGTAGCCTTGGAGCAAACAGGAATATGCACATTTGCTTTACTGCAAATGATCTCTGGGGCTGTTTTCAACCTGTACAGGATGGCATCTTTCAGAACTGTATAGTGACGCTCTATAACATCTTTAACAACAGGTTAGGGGATTGCTGTCCTGAAAACTGAATTCAAATGGCACGCCACAGAAGGCTTTTATCCAAACACCCACAAGATCCAAAGCTGGAAGAAGCCTTTCATGTGAAGCTCAGGACGGTTCCAGATCAGGCTCCAGCCGTGTACCCACAGAGCACTCCCAACGGCCTAACACCTCATCAGATGCTTGAAACTTCTCCCCTGCGTTCCTGACAATGGTGTCTGCAGTCACCACTTGAACCTCAGGGAATTCACCTATCCCCAGGTAGTCCATGTCAATTCAGACAGTTCTGTTTATTAGAAAATTATTTCTTATCCTTTCTGGGGCTCCTGCCTGGGGAGCTGTTGGGCTGTTGGTCATCCTGAGTCAATGTTCAGGAGTGCTTTGCAGCCACTGGGCTGGTTCCTTTGATTCCTCACTTTGGCTCTTTATCTGAAAATAAAATCAGATACTACTGGCTATTACCAGCAAAAGTCCAAAGTGACTGTTAAAATAGAAAAAGTAATTTAAAAAGGAAAACTAGGGGCGCCTGGGTGGCTCATTAGGTTGAGGGTCTGCCTTCGGCTCAGGTCATAATCCCAGGGTCCTGGGATTCAGCCCTGTTCCAGGTTCTCTGCTCAGTGGGGAGTCTGCTTCTCCCTCTGCACCCCCCCCACCTCACCAATTTGTGCTGTCTTCCTCTGCCTGCCGCTCTGCCTTCTTGTGCTCTGTCCCCCGTCGAATGAATGAATGAATGAATGAATGAATAAAAAAAAAAACTAAAATCTTAAAAAAAAAAAGGAAAACTAAACTCAATTATCTTTGAGGGGAAAAAAAAGATAATTCTCAAAACACTTGTATCTTGTATCCTTCAAAGCACTAAATTCAAGAGGTTATAAGTTTATTCCAATGATGAAGCTGTAAGGACATCATTTTTGGAACTAGCTATCTGGAAGTTTTCTCAGAGCCCATCTGAGGGTGCCAGAACAAAAAATCTCAGTATGTTACAGTCACATTTCACTGACCCCAAATAGTAAAAATTCAACTTAATCAACTACTTCATTCACTGGGTGATTATGGCAAATTTTTGATTTCTCATGCATATTTAATACAGCAGTATGCCCTCTACTGTGATACACTTTTTTTCAAAAAAAACCTACAATTCATTTGCTTCCCCCCCTTTTTTAATTTTAATTTTAATTTTTTTAAAGATTTTATTTATTTATTTGACAGAGAGAGACACAGCGAGAGAGGGAACACAAGCAGGGGGAGTAGGAGAGGGAGAAGCAGGCTTCCCCACGGAACAGGGAGCCCGATGCGGGATTCGATCCCAGGACCTTGGGATCACGACCTGAGCCGAAGGCAGATGGTTAACGACTGAGCCACCCAGGCGCCCCATTCCCCCCCATTTTTTAAAGAAAAATACCATATATGCACAAATTTCTGTCACTATAGTTTCACCATTTCTAAAATTTCACACGAATGATATAATTCAGTTTGTAGACTTTTGTGTCTGGCTTCTTTTAGTTAGCATGAATGCTTTTGAAATTTATCCATTTATTGCGTGTATCAGCAGGTCACAGTTCAAGCCTTTTGTTGTTGTTGAGCAATATTTCATTGTACGAATATGTCACAATTTGTTTATCCATTCCTCAGCCGATGGATATTTGGGTTCCTTCCAGTTTTGGGCTATTATTAATAAAGCTACTATGAACATTTGCATCAAAGTCTTTGTGTACATCTGTGTTCCTGCTTCCCTTGGGTAAAGGTGAGTCATATGGCAAGTGTATGTCTCCCTTTTAAATAAGCTGCTAATGTTTTTCAAAGGGTCTGTACCATTTTACATTTCTATCAGCGGGATATAAGAGTTCCAGTTCTTCCTTACCATTGCCAATGATGGTATGGTTGGTCTTTTTAATTTTAGCCATTCTATTTTTTTTTTTAGACTTTATTTATGTATCTGAGAGAGAGAAAGAAAGCACGAGCAGGGAGAAAGGACAGAGGGGGAAGCAGACTCCCCACTAAGCAGGGAGCCCGACATGGGACTTGATCCCAGGACCCTGGGATCATGACCTGAGCCCAAGGCAGACACTTAACTGACTGAGCCACCCAGGCGCCCTAATTTTAGCCATTCGAATAGGTGCACAGTGGTATATCTCCACTGTATTTTTGATTTCCATTTCCCTAATGTTAAATAATTGAATTTTTTTTCCCATACTTATTGACCATTTTCTTATCCCTTTGGAGAAGTATCTGTTCAAATGTTTTTTTTCTCATTATTAAGCTGCAAGAGTCCATTCTATATTCAGGGTACAAGTCCTTTATCAGGTATATGTTTTGCAATTATTTTTCTCAGTCTGTGCCTTGCTTTTCATTTCTTTAATTATGTCTTTCAAAAAGCAAAAGTTTTTAATTTTGAAGCCCAAGTAATGAATTTTTTTCGCTTTGTGCTTTTTTGTGTCCTATTTAAGAAATCTTTGCCTAAACCAAAGTCACTAAGATTTTTCTCTTACATTCTCCTATAGAGCTTCTATAGTTTTAGCCTTTACAACTGAGTCTCCCACTCATTTCGAGCTAATTACTACATATGACATGACATGCAAGTTGAAGTTAAATTGTTTGCACACGGACATCTGATTATCCCACCACCAACTGTTGAAAGATTATCTTCTCCTCATTGCGCTGACTTGTCATCTTTTCTAAAAATCAACTGACTGTGTGCATTTTTCTCTATGTATAATATAAAACATTTTTAAAAGGTGATCAAAATCTCAGGCCCCCTCAAAAAATAAAAATCAACTGACCATATGCGTGGGTTTATTTCATACTAAATTCTATTCTATTATCTATATATCCATTCCTATCTGCCAATATCATATTATCCTGAGTAATGTAACTTTGTAGTAAGTTTTAAAATCAGGTAAGTCCTCCAACTTTATTTTTCTTGATAAAAGTTATTTTGGAAAAAAAAAACCCTTTACATTTCCATAAAAATTTTGGTGTTAACTTGTCAATATCTGTCCACAAAAAAAAAGTCTGTTGGAAATTTTACTGGGATTGAGTGTGCTGAAGGGAGA